TATATATATATATATATTACCTTGATCTTTTGCATGAAAAATATAACCCCTCTAATGAATTTTTACAGATAATAATAAAATTATAAGTTGAAATGATATTGTATATTGAAATATTTTAATTGAGATTTTTTTAAAAAAAATTGGGTAAATTAAAGGTGAGTCAACATGTCAACTCATAATTTTTAACCCACTAACTCACTAAAATACGTGGACCAATCCATTAACCCACCAATAAATGTGATAAATTAAATTTTTTAACTTATTTTCTATAGTGGGTTAACTTAATCCACTTTTTTTATGAGTTAACTCGTCTGATCTACTTTAATAAATTAATCTATTTTAGCACTTCAAAATAATTTGTAGGAGGTAATGTGGTTGTACTCACAAAAGATAATTAAAGTCAAATTCTATTTTTTTTATACTCATTTATAATGAGAAACCCGTTTAGGAGATAAAAAATAATGGATCAAGTAAATATTTTTTTATTTCAAAATTTAATAACATATTAAAAGAATTAAAGAGTGTTTGAGAAGTGTTGTTATATTATAGTAAAAGTAAAGAAACATTTTTGTTAAATAGTTAAAATACCATTTTATTCGTTATATAAAGGGAAAAACATGAGAGCCTAACTCAACCTTTCATGCTTACAAAACCGGCTTGTAAGGTGAGGATTGTTTTCCACTTATATACTATTCAATTACCTAATCTCTAATCGATAGTGAGTGACCCTTTTTAATGATCTAGGATTGGCGAGACTTGAATTTTTCCCAATAACCATGTCTATATATCTCTATAGTCTATAGTTCATAGGGCCTCTCATTCCCTCACCTTTCATGCATTACTACCATTTCCTTGTTTAAACACCATCTGATTCCAACCCTTTCTCGTCAATCTTCTCGCTCACTGTCACACACGAACACACATACTCGAACTGCAGCCATGGTTTTTCTTTCCCACCAAGCTGCATTAAACGAATCATTTATCGTGAAGCCATGCAGACCCTCAGCCATGTTCACGGGGGTCCCAGAGGTTGATCTCTCGGACCCTCGGGCCAAGACTCTCATAGTCAAGGCCTGCCAACACTTTGGTTGCTTCAAATTAGTTAACCACAGTGTTCCACAGAGTTTGGTCACCAATTTGCAAAATGAAGCACTCAAGTTTTTCAGGCTACCACAGTCTAAGAAAGACAAGACAGGGCCTCCTGACCCTTATGGCTATGGCAGCAAGAGAATTGGCTCGAATGGTGATGTGGGTTGGCTCGAATACCTCCTCCTCAACGCCAATCCTGATGTTATTTCCCCAAAGTCACTTCTCCTTCTTGAACAAAACTCAGAAAATTTCAGGTAATCAATTTCCTCAAAAATCAAAACAGTTCCATCTTTTTTATTTATTTATAGTTTAATTATTTTTTTATATAATTTTATTAATTTTATTTTTTAATTTCTATTGCTAAAAATGTTTCATTTTAGTTTATTTATATATATATATATATATTGTT